CAATAGTCAACGAGATAATAATTGGTAAAAATTACCGAATACATGCGTCCGCCCGGCCTACTACTGCCAACAGTGTACGGTACTATGATACGCCCATGATAGCTCGATGTCGCGCGGACCACGGAGAGCGGAGACTGCCTGACAAGCGTCCCCTCCGCGCACAACGCCGCGCGCCGCGAGCCCCAATCATCGTGACTCAGACAGCAGCGCGCTTGCCAGGCAGTCCCCGCTCTCCGCGGTCCGCGCGCCATCGAGCTATTATGGGCGTACATTGTTGGCAGTAGTAGGCCGGGCGGACGCATGTATTCGGTAATTTTTACCAATTATTATCTTGTTGACTATTGCGAAAATTGCAAAACGGTAGAGGACTTTTCGACTCAGTTCAGTCCGCTCTATCTGATTATGTAATATTTTCCAGTTAGTCTGGGACACCCATACAAAATTCAATTCAGCGCTAATCAATTTTGCGTCTTTAATCCAGTACAAGGAGTTTTAATTCCGTTTAGTAAATTCGGAGATTTTTCTCAAACTGCAATGCACTCACAATTTGATCGTTCCAGCATTCCTTTAAACACATTTCTTCATAATTTCGAGACGTTATCTGAAAAACGTATGTCGAGTTAGTGGATTTCACGCTACCTTTGTAAAAACAAATTTTGCAACTGATGAAGATTCATTGTTATATTAATTATAGGAGGCCTGTCACTGGAGTTACCCAGGTTTCGTCAAAATCACCTCGAATCGTACTTTTTGCGCCGGTACACAAGATGGGAGCGGTCCTTGCAACGGTGACAGTGGGAGTGCGCTAGTACTTTTCGATAATACTACAGACCGTTATCAGTTGCGTGGTGTTGTTTCACGGTCAGTGTTTACTCATGAACCAGTATGTGATCTTACGAAATATACCGTCTTTGTCGACGTGGCTAAATACCTATCTTGGATTCAACAGCAGATATCAACCACGTAACAATAATTTCTTATTTCAAAATAGCAGAATATATGCTAGTAGATAATCAAAATTAAAACAAACTAAAGGACTCTTTTTTTTTATACAAAATAATAAATATAAATATGGCATTGTAAGAGTCAGATAAATAAAAAAAATTTTTGTAAACGACAAAATAAACCATATATTCTAAGTTTTATCTATTATCAAATAAAATTAAAGTTGAAGGACTCTTTATATGAAAATAATATAATAATCTAACAAAGAAACGTGTGAACGTCTGAAGAGGACTCAAACCAAGAGTCGAAACTTGTTGCGTTTTTTACAAATTTGCGTTTTTATCATTTTTATAACATCATAAGCGGCTAAGTACTTCTAATTTATTATTTTTTGTATTTCAATTATTTTTATGTATACATGTATACACAGTTAAAGTTATTTAAATGTTTTAACCGCTTTATTTTATTTTATTTACTATCTGATTCTTATTGTCCTTTCTTTGTTAGATTATTATATTATTTTTATCTATTATGACAGTACTTAAAAACTAACTTAAAATATAACATTAAATGACAGATATTCTTACATTGTATTACATTACATTACTAGTATTTCGATCAACAATTCTGGTTTTCTTCAGATGAAACATTAACGTTGAAATATAAAATTATGGATGGACAACAATACTTATGTAAAAATAAAAATTTATAAAATATTTATATAGATCAAAAGATTTATATATATATATATATATACATATGTATATATATCTATATTTTTATTATTTATCTGACTCTTACAATGCCATTTTTATATTTATTATCTACTACTTAGTCTATGCTTTTATTATATTAGATATCTATTTGATACTTATTTGTACACAAATAAACATTAGAAATTGTAGTTTGATATTTTAGACCTATTATTACATACACAAGTAAATAAAGGCCTAATGACGGTCAAGCTAGGATTTTGATTGCTAAAGTAATGTGTGAATTTTATTTATCACGTATGTAGTCACTTTATCGCGTGCCGAAATTTTTTCAGACTTACAACGCAATCTCTAATCAACTACCGTAGTAATATCACTTTATAGTTAAATTGACAAGCAATCTAACAATTTTTTATGCTTATAGCATCTTCTTGGATTTTAATAATATGTTTAAAGACATATTAAAATTTAACGATGTAATTAAGTTAAACTGATAATAAATCGAAATCTGTGAAAAATAAGATTGCGAAGAATATCACAAGTTGGCGTTTCGTCCCGACTTCCCACTACTAGACTCATCAGTAAGGTAATGTAGTGGGAGCTTACCTTAGACGCCTGGGGGAGATATTAGAAAGAAGTTCTATATAAACGGATACTTATATGTATCTTGGCACTTGCGAGAGATTAGCAAGAGTAACTATAGACCTCTGTAGGCTGGTCGACGTAATGATATTCTTCACAATGTTCTCCGTTTTTAAATATTTTTAACAAATTTTGCAGGCTCGTTATTCTAATACGATATGTGTAGGACCGTTGGTATTCAAACACAAATAAATAAATTATTATTACATGTTTCACTTTTTACCAATAATAAATTAATTTGTTATAAATCGTAAAATAATGTAAAAAAAATCGTAATATACTGTAAAAAGCACTGTAATATATTGTAAAAAGCACGATTAGACAATCGGTTATCTATAAGTTTTCGGTAATTATTTAGAATAGGGGAGGCAGCACCGATGACCTTGACCTTGACATATGTTATCAAGGTCATGATTCTGAGTAACTTTGCCTTAACAACTAGTCGTCGCTCGCCCTTCGTTAAAAAATTATTAACAATTATAGTTTTAAAATAGTAAATGTATCAATCGGGGGACCTCCCTCCAATGATTTTGACCTTGACATATGTTGTCAAGGTCATGACCCTGAGTAACCCTCAACAGGTTTTAGCTGTCGCTCGTCCTTCGTTAAGAAGTTATTAACAATCATAGTTTTAACATATGCTATCATTGTATAATATGAATTACTATTCTACACCTTTCCTTGTTCAGAAACGTTGAACTTTCCACGCGAAGTAACCTTCACCACTTCCCCCCCCTGCACAGGGGCACACGACTTCTACGATTGTACTGTTGCTATGATAGTACTATCGGGGGAGATCTCTGTCGACGGTGTGGGTGCGGGGGAGTGGCTGAAGGCCACACCCTTGCACCTGTCCGTGTGTGTGTGTGTGTGTGTGTGTGTGTGTGTAAAATATCCAGTAATAGACTCATAATCGTTATATAACGAATGGAACACACACACACACACGCGCACGCACGCACGCACACACACACACACACACACACACACACACACACACACACACA